CCCCACAGCAGGAGCAGCAGCACCGGCGCCAGCCTCGGGCTCGCGAAGCACGTGTCCCTGTCGCCGCACGGGCCGGGCGCCCACCTGTCTACCTCACACCTGGCGCTCCGCTCGCAGGCCCAGCACCAGCACCACGCGGCGGCTATGTTCGCCGCCCCCGCGACACTGCCCCCGCCCCCGGCGCTGCCGGCCAACAGCCTGGTCCTCCCAGGACACCCCGCCGGTAGGTCCGGGTGCCCTCTGTAGGGGCCAGGGTCGCTGCGCCCTCCACCCAGTGGTTCTCTCTCCCGGGCTGAGGAAGGGGCGCCAACCTGCAGGGCACAGCCTCGCCCTGCTCCGGGCGGTGCCACTTAACCCCAGGCCCCAGAACGCCGGTTGCCCCAGGAGGCCGCGTTCCTGGGGTTCCCATGGCCCGTGCACAGGTGGCTTCTGCCGGGGCCTCGGCGGTGCCCATGCCTGCGTGCCTGCTGCACCCTGAGCCCATGCCAGGCCTGCTCAGGCAGCTGGGGGGATGGAGGCTGCCCAGAGCCTGCTGTGTGTCTTCCTGTGCGGGAGAGGTTCTCTGGGAAGCCGGTAGAGCTCAAGAGTAGAGGAGTCTGAGGTGGACATTGGCACCCCTGGCCTCCCTTCCCTGCTTGGTTCTGGCAGGTGCCCCCTCAGAGTCAAATTTAGGTCACTCAGGATTTCTCCATGCGTTTCCTGTCTAAATCTTCCTAAAAGTCAGTCAGTCCGGACTGGCCTGGGGGCCCCGGGATGGGGCCAGGACATGGTCTGGGTGGCCAGGCTGGGCAGGCCCCCAAGGCCGGGCCCGGCTCACGGTCTTCTCTCTTGCCTTTAGATGCCAGCCTGTTGATCTCATTCAGCCAGCCAATCATGTATTGCCAGCCTCATGCGGGGATTCTGATTGGTACTTGGTCACAGGCCCCCCTCTTACCTCCGCCCTGGGGCCCGCACCTAGCGAGCGGCCACCACGGCTTGGCCTGCCGAACCCGGGAGTGCCAGGTGACTATCCGCCTCGCCCCGCCGGGAGCCCGCGGCCGACGTGCCTCTCTGTCTCTCTCTCTTTTTCTCTTGTAGATCACGAGCTGCTCAGGCAAGAGCTGAACGCGCGTTTTCTGGTGCAGAGCGCTGAGCGGCCCGGCGCCCCCCTGGGCCCGGGGGCTCTGCTGCGGGCGGAGTTCCACCAGCACCAACACACACACCAGCACACACACCAGCACCAACACACATTCGCCCCCTTCCCCACGGGGCTGCCCCCGACGCCGGTCCTGCCGCCCGCCGCACCCCCGCCGGTGCGTAGGCCCCCAGCGGGCGGGACACACAGCAGGCACACACGCACTCCACCTGCACGCAGACTGACACCACCCCTTTCTGTCCGTCTGTCCATCCAGCCCCTCCTTCTGGTTTCACTCTAGTCCCCCGTCCTGGGCTCAGGCAGGCACCCCACGTTCCCACAAGTGTGACATGGTCTTGGGGCCAGTTGTCCCCACACAGGGTCCTGGACACATTGGTTGGCAGGAGACAGCAGGTCTGATGGTCCTGACAGGACTGTGGGGCCACGGGAACCAGGCCCCTCCCCTTTCCCCAGGTCCCAAGGCCTTGCCCAACAAGCCAGCTGCTCTGGGGTGGGGGCCACTCAGCCCCCACCAGGCTCTGCCCCCAGCTGGGCCACCCACCCTGGGCTCTATGCCCCTGGCACGCTGCAGCCGCCTTTTGGTGTCTCGGTTACTGCAAGCAGGAGGCCCAGCCGGGCGAGTGTGCACCTTCTCCTATGGGGGGACCATGAGAATGGGAGGGCCTGTGGGGCCAGCGCCTTCAGGGAGCCCCTGGGACAGCTGGCTGCAGACCAGCAGCCCCAGGAGGCAGGGTGGCCATCCAGGCCACCACCGGGCCCAGTGGGGGTAGGTGGGCACGGGCCCATGGAGGGCGTTGACGAGCAAGGTGGGCCTCACCCTTCACTCTCTCCCCCTCCAGTTTGACAAGTTCACGCCCAAGCTGGACAGCCCCTACCTGCGACATTCCAACGTGAGTGTCCCTGCTCTGGCCCCGGGGGGCTGCTGGGCGTTGGGCCGGGCTTGGGGCTGCGGGTGGAGGGGGGGTCTGCCTCCACACACATCTTACCAGTGTTTCCCGATGCGGGAGGGCGGGGGTGACCAGATGGCTGGGCCAGCACCAACCGGGGCCTGAGTGCCCGCTGCAACCCTGGGATGCCCTCCTTCCTTCTTTTGCAGTTTTTCCCATCCTTCCCTCCTGCCGTCCCCGGACTGCCCACTCTGCTGCCACACCCAGGCCCCTTTGGGTCCCTGCAGGGCGCTTTTCAACCCAAGGTATCACCTGTTCCCGGGAGGCGGGACGTGTGCGGAGGTGTCCCCAGGGATGGGGTAGCAGCAGGGAGGACGCCAGGCACAGCCTCTCCCGTGGGAACTCAGCCCTGGGCCCGTCTGGCCAGCAGCTGGCAGGGCCTTCTGTGCACCAGGGTCCAGCAGAGCCCTGCTTTGTGCTTTCTCACCCTCCTCAGCAAAGGGGCTCACGGGTGGAGGAGCAGTACAGGGGCGAGGCCTTGGGGGGCAGGGGGCACCTAAGGCCCCAGGACCAGGGACTGGGCTCCCTCTGCTCAGCTTCCCAGCAGCCCATACTCTGGCCTAGGCACCTTGGCATCATGAGTCCCTTCCTCCACCCTGGGTTGGGGAGGTAGTGAGAGGCCATGCCATCCCTGGGTGGCAGCATGCGAGGCCACACAGGAAGGGCCAGGTGTTGAGGGTCCAGGGCTCTGCAGTGTCTCACATCCTGTTCCTTTCCCCTCAGACTTCAAACCCAATCGAGGTAACAGGCCGGGCCAGCGCTGTCCACACCCTGCTCCAGAAGGGCCCCGGGGTAGGTGGTGGCAGTGTCTGTGTGGTCCCTCCCTCCCTGGGCAAGGTCCCCACCCACCCCCGGGCTCGGCTGCCAGTAGAGCCCGCACCTAACGCTCCTCTCTCAACGACAGGTGTCTGACCCGTACCGGACAGCAGTCAGGGTGAGCGTGGCACACGTGTGCGCATCCCCTGGGCGGAAGGGAGGGTCCACAGCCAGGGAGGACTCTGGGTACCTCTTGGGTGTCCCTGGGGATGCCCTGTGACACCAGGAACCTGGGGGTGATGATGTGGAGAGTGAGGGGGCTCCCGCTGAGCACCTCGCCCACCTGTTACAGAAGCCCGGGAGATGGTGTGCTGTGCACGTGCAGATCGCCTGGCAGACCTACCACCATCAGCAGAGAATGAAGGTGAGCCACAGCCACGAGTCCCGCTGGCCTGACCCACAGGTGCACGTGCATGTCAGACCCTCAGGTGTTTGCTGCGTGCCCCTTGCTTGGGCGCTGGGCTGGGTTGTGAGGGGTCGGAGCTGGGGGGGAGACAGGACAAGGTCACTGCCTACTGTGGGTGGGGGCCACCATGTCACCCAGGGTGACCCAGGCTGGGGTTTGGGAGGAGCTGGTCCTGTGGGTAGGGTGGTCGTAGGCACCTGTGCTGGTCCCACCAATGCCCGTCCAGTCCTCCCCCACAGCCTTGGACCCTGCCGGGAACCTGAGCTTTCAGCACTGAACAGAGGCTGGAAGTGCTCGGGGAGGGGTGCTTTTGTGGGGGACAGGCAGTGAACAAGAACCCATCTCGGGGCGAAGACCATCACCGTCTAGCAGGTGATGCCAGGTGTCCTGGCCATGGTGGGGGCTCCGAACAAGGATCCCTGAGTGAATCGTGGAAGAGGCAGCCACAGCCTCCTGAGCAGGCAGCCCTGGACACTCTCTGTTCCCCAGCAGATGCAGCTGGACCCCCACAAGCTGGAGGTGGGCACCAAGCTGGACTTGTTCAGCAGGCCCCCTGCCCCGGGCCTGCTCCCAGGACTCCACTACCCGCAGGACCTGGCCCAACCCTTCTTCTCCAGCTCGGGTAAGGTTGCCTGGGGCTGGCCCGGCGGCTGCGGCTTTTCCCTCTGGCTGGTGCCAGGTGGGGACACGTGTTGCCCCCGAGCTCTGGCTGTTCTGTCTTCTACCAGTCGCTCCCCTGAGCAGACCTGAGTCCTGCCCTCCACACCCCCTTGCTTCTGGTGTCCTCCCCTGACAGCAGAAACTGCTACCAGGACCCCATGTACCCCCTGCCAGCAGCCTCACCACAGTCATGCTCTGTCAGGGTCCCCAGGTGCACCCCAGTTTCAAGGATTTGCTAGCAGGACTCAACATACACCACTCCTGCGGCTAAGATGTGTCACCATGAAGGGACACAGCCAGCTTATGGAAGGGGATAGGCCTGCAGGGCAGAGCCCAGGCTCAAGCTGGGACAAGCCCCATTCTCCCAGCACCAAACTGACACCACGTGTGTGTCGTCTTCCGCGGAAGCTCCCAGGGACGCAGTACCCAGGCTTTTGTTGGGGATGGTCCCACTGGCTCTCCCTGCACAGACCGAACTACAGAGTTGGGAGGAGAGCTCAGCATAAGCCAGTGTTTACACAAGCAACGCGGATACCAAGCCCTTCCTCTCAGAAAAAAGGGAAGGTCTCCTGACCCCCAGAGCGCAGACGCCAGCCGGGGGCCAGCCCTGCACACAGACCTGTGTGAGCACAGCCAGTGTCTCGGGCCTGCTGCTCTTTCCTCCCCTGCAGGATGTCACCTCCTCCAAGGGTCCTCCCCGTCTGTCTTCACACACTCACTGCCACCTGCTGCCACCTTACATGTGGGTGTGCCTGTGAGGCAGCCATGTCAGCAGGCTGGTTACATGGGTGTGCATGGGTCACCCAGGCTGGCCACTTTGCAATGCCCTGGTAGCCTCCAGCCCCCAGCCTGAGCAGAGGTCTCCTGGTGTCTGGGTCCTGTGGAAGGCAGACCCATCAGAGCCCAGTTAGGCTGGAGCCCACAGGACATGCTCAGTATGGGGCCTGGGCTGTGGCCTATGTGCAGCTTGGAGCCTGAGCTCCCCCCTTCCCCCAGCATCCCCCGGGACGTGCCCCACCCAGGCCAGGCGGTGCCATCAGGGTGCCCACACTGCTTATCAGGCACTGTCCTGCGTGTCCCAGGTCTGACACCATTTCCACCAGCACTGGGCAGGCTGGCTTTTGCTTCTGGGTTGATATCTTTGGCTTATGAGTTGTTCAGAAGCACATTTAACTGTAGCTGGGGGCCCAAGGAGATTAGACACTTTTGTGAGAGGGGTGGACCTTGCCTGTGGGAGATGTGAATGCACCAGTGTTGGAGTCCCCAGAGATGGAGTTGGAGGACATGAGGGTCACCTATGTCACCGTCTTTATCAGAAACCCACTCTCTAGAGTGAAGGGCACGCACCACACCCAGGTGTCCTCGAGGTCTGGTTTTGGGGGCCATTGGCAGATGCCACGGTAGCCTCATGGGCTGTGTCCTGTAGCTGGGGGGACACCACGGACAGAGCTCCCATCTTTAGCAGCCGTAACTCAGGCAGTGTCCACTGGGACCCAAGACCAAAACCCCTGTTAGGTAATCAGGGTTGCCCATTAGAAACTTGAGTCATGGGCATCGGGAGCAGCCCGAGAAGGCCCAGCCTGTGTCCTTGGGGCTGCACTGCCATCAGCACCTCCCTCCTGCTCCCCCTGGGGTCTGGTCACACCCTTCAAGGGGGAGGTAGGAGTTCCTAGAGGAAGCTGGAGCCCCAACCCTGGGAATGAGCCAGACAGGAGGCCCAGGTGCTGTCAGCTCCACCAACCTGCCCCCCTCCAGGTGCTGCTCATCCTGTCACCAACCATTTTGGACCCTCAGCCCATCCCAGCAGCTTCCTGCCCACTGGTCACCTGACAGGTAGGTGCCCCCAAGGTCCCTGTGATCTGGGTGGCCTCCAAAGACCTCAGGGCTGGGTAGAGGTAGGTGGGTGGGGAGGTGACCCTAACACCAGGGCATCCTCAGATTGCGTAGTTGGCACCTGCCAGGTTCTGGAGCCACAGGAGAGGGTGCGTGGTGGGAGCCTCCGTGAGCCACGCAGGCCCCTGAGCCCCACTCCCCCCACAGACCCTTTCAGCAGACCAAGCACCTTTGGGGGCCTGGGGAGCTTGGGCAGCACCGCCTTCGGAGGCCTGGGCAGCCATGCGCTGAGTGAGTGACCTGCACATGCATTCGTATCATCTCCCACCCCACCCCTCGCGTGGGCTCCCCATGTGGTCTGGGCTGCACCCAGCTCACTGTCCCCTTCAACCACCCCAGGACATACCCTGTCACAAACCTGGCCTGGGATCTGGGAATTGTGTGGTCCCTGGCAGCCCTGTGTGTGGGGTGAGGGGGGCAGAGTCACCTGGCCTCATGTTCCCACTACCACCCCCAGCCGCAGGCGGCAGCATCTTTGCCCCCAAGGAGGGCACAGCACTGCACGGCCTGCCCAGCCCCCACGAGGCCTGGAACCGGCTGCACCGGGCACCACCATCCTTCCCCACACCGCCCCCCTGGCCCAAACCTGTGGATGCCGAGCGGGTCTCAGCCCTGACCAACCATGACCGAGAGCCAGACAAGGGCCGGGAGGATCGGGAGCGGTGAGTGGGCCCCGTGCCCTTGAGGTACCCCTTGTCAGGAGGAGGGTGAAGGCCCAATACACCTGCCAACCCTGGGCCACCTCCCTCCCCCAGACACAGGGGGCACCTCGTGGGTAAGAGCTGGTCAGCAGGTGGAACTGTGGTGGACCCCAGCCTGACACACTGGATGAGGAATCCCAGGATCCCCATCCCTCTAGAATCCCCCTAAGTTCCTCACTGGGGGTCTGTCCAGGCCAGTGGTCCGGTTCCCAGGGCAGAGCTGTGCGTCTCCACAGCAGCTGGTTTCCGAGTTGTTTACAGAAGGAGGGAGGAGTGAAGTGTTGCGGGACCATCCTGGGGGTGCAGGTTTACCACGTGCCCACCAGGACCCCCAGGACCTTGATGGCCCCGCTGTGCTGAGGTGGGAACTTGGTAGCAGACAGCTTGCTTTGGGGGCATCCCGTTTCCAGAAGTCTGTCCTGCCCCGAGGCTGAGGGAGGGTGTCTGTCCCTCCCAGGGACCTCCTGGGGAAGCCCCGCCTGCTGAGCCGGGCCTCGCCGGCCGCCCCCGTCGGCAGCCTCCTGCTCCACGGCCCCGGCGAGCCTCGGGTCAAGGAGAGCCG